TTTTTAATTTCCACAGGTGGAGGAGAGGAAACAATCATACCTGGACTCATATGACATTGTGTTGATAAAGGATGAAACCTTAGATGTTCCAAATGCAGTTGTACGCTTTCTCACTGAGTAATTGGACTGTGACAGCCCTGCGGTAGGCCACCTACCTCAGCTGATAGCTGCAGCCTAAAAGCTGCATGTGTGTGTCTACTGTTCAAACTTTGACATAAATGGCGGTACTTGACCTAGTATTTGCTCTGAAAACGACTTCCATTCTCTTACAACAAAAGCACCTTTTCAGTGAATTGTAATCTGAAAACAGACACTGTTTTTTATTACTGCAGTGCCATCTTGTGGTGGCCTGTCGGTAAATACATTTAGGAACAGGGAAAGAAAAGATAGAAAACATATTTCTATATTTAGAGTCAGTAATTTGTAATAATTATTATGTTGAAATTATGAGAATATTAGCAAGAAATACAATAAAAAGTTAATAAAGTAGTTATTTTTTGCTACAAATTTTAAACTTTAGGTTCAGTGTTTTTAAATCACTGAACGGTCTGATGCTTTCTGTCTATCTGAGTCTGGAATAAAAGAAAAAATTAAGTTGCTGCTTCTTTCTTCAGCTTCTGCCTTGAAAAGTCAATTACAGTGGTCGTCATCTCAACTTTGCCTCTCTAACTTCATCTCCAAACATTACATCATAGCAGGTCTCAATACTATGTTTAATCCATTCACTCCGATGATGACCTGTCACAAATCACGCCTGACACTTTTCTCCACCAACTCCATCCTGCCTACACTCTCTTGTTCACCTCTCTCATCCCTTAACTCAAAGTAAGTGTTAAGAAGAGCTGGTTGCCATAATAATGGTTTACGGTGGGTTGATGGATAGTTTATCAACATTACTGAGTACTTGATCAGGTAAATCATGCAGATTAGATGCTATATACAAAATATATTCCAGTTTGCAAAAGGTTGGGCATTATCGGTGGAAATATTAGATTTGTTTTGGGTTCCAGCACATGTAGGTATGGAAGGAAGTTAGGATATTGACATATTGGCAAAATAGCCCCTGAAATTACAATGTTTTGATTTAGAGATGGCACTATGCAAAGCTGAAGGGAGCATTATAAGTAATCAAACACCAAGAATATGGCAGCGAGAAAGAAAGGGATCTATACAACATTTAAAAACACGTCGGTCGTGGGAAGAGAGCGGCCAAGAACCAAAAGGAAGAAATAACAATCACCTGTCTCAGGACAGAACACAAGGGTTCTAATAAAACTGCAGCTAAACCCAACTGGACATTGGAGGAAAAAAAGGAGGAAATTAATAGGAAATTTTAAGGCGCTGAAGATGAAGTTTACTTTGGAAGATCATCTTGGAAAGGCGCTGTCACAACTCCATGGCCAACTGATGATGTTTGTGAGAAGAACATTTTTTATACATGTTTTATAGGGAGAGTTTTTTTTATTTTACTGTCAGGTTCCTGATCCACACTCCAGTCCAGCAGGTGGCGGTAATGCGCCTTTAAGCTTGGTCTGTCAACCACTAATAAACCCAGATGAAGAAGTAGCGGACAGCTTTCGTCAGACCCAACGGATTGAAAACACGTTTTCTCAATGGTAGTATTTCTCAAGAATGTTTAAAGCGTATACTTATACCGGTGAAGTTTTGTGGGATGCAGTTAAAGCCACAGACAGTTTATAGCTGAAGAATACACCGCGAACATCCTGCTGTAGCTGCAGCTAGCAAACGCTTATGTTATCACAAGCAGAGCCACTGTTTATTTCACAGTTTAAGAAAGCTAGTCTGTCTCTTTTTCCTGTCCTCTCTGGTGTACTTAATGTGTTTGTCCTCCGCGTTAATGTGATCGCTGAATTGTGGTATATACTGAGATTAGATTTTTTGCCCAGGTGTCATCCACGTACCTGAACCATTGGCTCGGTGATGCTCTACGATAGGGTATCAGAGCGCTCTTTTCCACTTCCTCTGTATAAAAATAGGTGAAACTGTGGAAGCAATGACGCAAACGTGTTTTTGTCTATAGTACTGGCTCTTGTACGTGAAATATGTGGGTTAAAGATACAGTTGCAAGAGCAGACAAACTTGGTCGGTGCTGAGAGTGGGGTCGTGATCAAAAGAACAAAGGTTCTGGGATTTCGTTATGTGGATAATTGAGCGTACAAGACTTCCTGCTTGAATGTTGTTGATACGACATAATTGATATTGTTGACAATTGACTTTAGCCAGATTCAATCAGCTCATACTGTCTACGCAGATTCCGGAGTTGTCCAACTCCTGGGTGCATATGAAAGATGATGAGAGGGTACGAGAGATCCTGCAGTCCATGCAGAAGGCTGGCTCCAACACCCTGCAGGTATACAAGTCATCCACTACGCTCATTAACACATTCAGCCCTGTATGAAAATATAATCCGGCTCTTTGGTGATTCTGATCTCGTTTTTGATCCAGGTAATCTCGGATTTTGACATGACCCTTACAAGATTTGAACATAATGGGAAAAGATGCCCTGATTGTTATAGTGAGTACACATTTATCATGACAAACTGCACAAGGTGTTTCAGAGATGAGCTGTAGAACTGCTACAGTGGGCAATGAATCTGGTCTATATAGTGGTAAAGAGTTTGCTGGGTGTTTATACACACAAGATAAAGTAAAACAGTGATAAGGAAAAAAGATCCCACTCCAGTGAATAAGAAACTTTTTTATTCTATTCCCCACATGACAGAATTTAGGTCCTGGAGATGTTTGTAGTGTTTGTCAGCTTTTTGTTGTTTGAAATCGTCATGCATATAAAAGTTTTTAGTTTTGTCATTCTGTGTATTTTATTTGCAGATATTCTTGAAAGAAGCAATGTAATCTCCAGTGACTGTAAAGAAAAGGTAGGAACAGTACTTTAGTGTAAGAGCTGTTGGTTAGACTTACAACATATGGTGCCATTAGTATATTGTCTCAAGACAGTTTGGCACAATGTAAATGCAGCTTTTTTAAAATCTTACATATGTTGTTGCACTGAACGGTAGTTAACACAAAGCAACAACGTTATAACTGCATCACTACATAGATCATCTGGTTTACTGTTAAAGGGGAAATGTTTTGATGGTTCTTTTATATTAAAACAGCATGTGCTAGTGCAAAATAACCTGCAAGATTCTGCTTCAGAACATAGGTTCTCCCAAGACACACCAGAAAACTCCTGATTTTTATATGATGTACAGATCAGGAGCTTTCTTAAAAATAGCTGAGACATAAAAGTGTCTAGAAGTCATAAAAGTGTAAAAGAGGTTTATGATTTCATTATTTTTTGCCTTACTGTATCTAGAAGGTGAATAAGTACAACATCTGTTCGATGTTTCGGTGAGTAAGCCATCCAACACTCTGGACTGAGCTGGAACAAAAACATCCAACCTTGCATATGAATAATAAAAGTAAAGTATGTAGTGATTATTAAATATAAAATGAAAGGCTTTGTCCCTATTCATTCATGCAGGGGGTTCAAAATAACACCCCAAATAACTATCCAGAAGCATTGCCCAGATGGCTGCTGAGTGGTGGTGAGACTTGCCAATTCTAGAAGAATTGTGATATTTGCTGATCACTTTTTATAACACTGTCATGTCCTCTACAGCTGCAAGGGCTGCTCGACAAATACTACCCCATAGAGATCGACACTACGCTGTCAGTAGAGGAGAAGCTGCCTCTCATGGTGGAGTGGTGAGTGTGTACACAGAGCTATGACTTGTGTTTAACAGTGTTGGAAGGGTATTTATTAACTCGACTGTATCTCAGGTGGACAAAGGCTCACGAGCTGCTGGTGAATCAGAAAATTAAGAAAGATGGGTTAGCCAAGGCGGTGAGGGACTCTGAAGCCAAGCTGAGGTATGAGCATCCCCGAAGATCTGTTTAGTTCTTGAATGTTGAAAACATTTTTGTAATGCAGCTAATGTGGATTCTTTTTCACGTCTTTTAACAGGGACGGCTACAAGGATTTCTTTGACCACCTGCATG